GCGCTAAAGGCTTAGCTCGATTTTTATGAATGGCAAGTAGGAATAGTGGGTAAGTCAAGTATGGCTGACCAACCTAAAGCATAGTTTAACTCCCGTTTGCGTGCTTATCTTTGTTCTGCGTCCGATTTGGGTCTAAGCCCACATTGTACACCATGTTAGCTGGTGGAGTACCATATCCTCATGTTAGGCTACCAGTATGCTGAAATAATACCAGACTCTATTTGGCTTCGTTTTGCATGCTAGTCTTGGCATTGGGATATTGAATGCTCTAGGACTGTTCTAAGTTGCTCTGCGCTCCTATCCTTTCACTCCTTGGGTTGTACATTTGGGAGTCATTCCATGATCCAGTGCCATTTGTCGCGAATGTGACTTCGGGTATCAAAAGTTACCTGTCGACCAGTCCTTACGGACACTCTTACCTTACTGCCACGATGGCAGGAGGTCGGTATTGCTGGTTCCCTTTATTAGCCCCTCTTGTCCAAGTGTTAGCTTACTGGGCTTAGCATCTGTACTTAGCCAGATGAACATAAGGTAGGAACTCCTATGTGTTTCTAGCTGAGCATTCTCGGCCTGGCTCTTAGTTCTCTTTTGCTCTGTCTTGCACTGGCTTGGCAAGAACTCTCGCGTATTGAGATTAATCCCTCAATATCGCTGGATGATAGCTTACCGTGTCTGCCAAACACCCTCGCTATCATGCCCTTTGTGTTAGTCTCATTTCGGTCCCAAATGCTATTTATGGAAAGTGTCCAGATTTGCTCATTTGGCATATCTACGGAATGTAAAGATCGGCCTGAACACAATGGTGTTCGTCCCGTGTCCAAATTCACAATCTAAGGACATTCCATATTTAGTAAGTTTTGAGCTTGTCCCAGAGACTAACTCCAGATACTAAGGGAGGCTTGGGGTGAAAGCCCAAAGCGTGTGTTCCTCAAGGGGGGGGGCTATGGGGGGTTCCAAATGTATAGTAGGGATAGTGGGTAGGTCAGGCATGGCCGACCAACCTGAGGCATAGTCTAGCTCCCGCTTGCGTGCCTGTCCTTGTTCTGCGTCCGGCTTGGGTCTAAGCCCAAGTTCCATTCCATGCTAGCTGGTGGAGTACCCATATCCTCACGTTAGGCCACCGGTATGCCGAAATAGCGCTAGACTCCGTTTGGCTCCGTTTTGCGTGCTGGTCCTGGCATTGGGATGTTGGTTGCTTCAGGATTGTTCCAAGTCGCTCCGGGCCCCTATCCCTTTGCTCCTTGGGCTTTATGCTCGGGAGTTACTCCGTGGTTCGATTCCATCACTCCTTGGCTCCATGCTTGGGAGTTTGGCACCGTTCGTTCGTTCAATGGCTCAAGGCCCTGAACCTCGGGTTCCTATGGACACGTGGCATGTGACACGTGGCATCTGTCACGTGGCACAAAGAGGGTTTAGGTTCCGCTTCGTGGTGTTATCCTATGATAAATCACCATAGGATAAAGGGTGAAAACCACGTGCGCTACACATTGCTCCTTGGCTCCATACTTGGGAGTTTGGCACCATTCCTTTGTTCAGTGGCCCAAAGCTCTAAAACTCAGGTTCCATACCACTATCTTTTGGACACGTGGCATATGGTATGTGGCATGTGACACATGGCACATGAAGGGTTTAGATTTTGCTTCATGGTTATTCTATAATAAATCACCATAGGATAAAGGGTGGCACATGAAGGGTTTAGATTTCGCTTCATGGTTATTCTATAATAAATCACCATAGGATAAAGGGTAAAAATCACGTGTGCTATAATGTTATACTCATTTGGCTTCCACTTCGACCACTTCCATATAGCACTCTTTCGGGTCTACTTTTGGGGCTTTGGGATAATGGGTATGTGTCTATAACTCATTCTTAAATCTATTATACATCCATACATAAGAAAAATTAAATACCAAATATAATACCATTATGTGTTTGCAAGTAGTCCTGCCATATCAAAAGCAAGATCTTGCAGAAATATATGGCACTACTCTTGAAGCACTAGAGCTTCTCTAGTAACATGATCTAAAATTTCATATATATAAGGAGCTCTAGTTCAACTTCACTAGAGCCCCCAATAGAGAGAGGATTATTATGTGAAGATGAAGGTGGACTGTTGGTAAAATTTAAGGATGGAGGTGGAGATTGATATGAAATGAGGGGAATAAGTACAAGTAACAATGACTTTCTTTCAAACCATTTCTATACAAACTTTCAAGGAGCTCAAGGAGAACAAGAAAACTATAGTGACTATAACTTTTCTTGATAGTTTATATACTAAGTTTTAGTCTTGGGAATGAGGTTTATTTATTATAATACTGATAATACTCAAATTCATAAAATGTTAATTTTGGAAATCATAATCATATTTTACTTATAAACATAAGAGCTTTTAAAATTCTAGATTATTGTGTATATACATGCTCTATTATTCTGATGAAAACTTACTCCACTACACATACTACACTTATACCAATTTTCTAAAGTGGATACACTGCCTCTAGCAACGTGAGGAACCAGTCCCAAAGGTTGATAGGCAAACTCACATTTACCACATCAGTATCTTTTTAAAAATTTGATAGGGATATAATTGTTTCTAGTAAGAAGTTTGGGCTGCCTAAGCTTTTCCTTCTCCTTTGTCAGCTACCTCAAGGCATTCACAATCACCTTTCTTCCATTCTTTACTTGTCTATTATATTTGTTTTTCTTAAATAGGAGTAAAGATATGCCAGACACAATGTAAGGAGCATAAGCCAATAGGATGTAAGGATTCTAATGAAATGTTTTCACCTTTGCCCTTAAAATGGATTTGATATTATTTTTTCTTTTAATTTAAATGAGAGTTTAAATGGCTAGAGAGGTCATCATTTGCTACTTCTTGAATATACTTTGTAGGTATTTCTCCTACACCTTATGTCTGGAGTATCTTTGCTCCTATTTAAGAAAAATGTTTTTAGATAAATTTTGCAAGTTGTTCATGCAATTGCTTCTGAACTTCCCATTGCATCTAGTGCTTGCCTGCCACACACATGAGGAAAAACAAATATAATAAACAAGCAAAGAATGGAAGAAAGGTGATTGTGAATGCCTTGAGGTAGTTGACAAAGGAGAAAGAAAAGCTTAGCGAGCCCAAACTTCTTAAAAGAAACAATTATATCCCTATCAAATTTTTAAAAAATACTGATGTAGTAAATATGAGTCTGCCCATTGACCTTTGGGAGTGGTTCATGGCTTTCATGAAGTGGTTATGGAGCTCATGATGCTACTCTACCATGGGGGCATCCTTCAAGTTCATTCACATTCTTTCCTTCACAATCATAAATCAATGGCTATGGTTTCCAATGGCATTTTGTGCTTAAATCTGACCCTTTTCTACTTCATTTCTTTGCATGCCGTTTTTACTATAACATTCTACTATCTTAAATTTTTTTAACAATGAATTTTGAAATAATTTTGAATATCAAAATCATATAAAATGACAGTCTTGTAGCAAATTTAATTGTGAAAGTTCAGTACGTCTTATTTCTACTGATAAAAATAAAGATCGATCTACTAGTGTAACAAAACCCCCACTACGACGTGTAATACAATGTTCTTTTATAAATTTTATAGCTTCTAAAATATCATTTCTAGTTTCTATAAGATTACGAGTTCTTCTTCTTGTTACTAATAAAGCAAATTTAAGATTTATAGAGCTTTCTCTATACCTCATTTGAAATGGATTTCTATACCATTGATTTAATATATTTGTTGAAGCTTGACAATATTCATTATCACTAATTCTTAAATGTCTTCCTCTCATATAACAAGATTCAATTGCAGAGCTTGAATAACAAAGAGATTTTATAAAACTATTTACTAGAAATAATAATAATATATTAAAATACATATTTATATATTATGATAATATTTAATAAAAGTAAAAAAATTATTTTTAAAAAAAGTATGGATATGAGAGCTCAGAATACCAAAATGTGCATATTTGTATTAGCCTGAAACACTAACTTATATATAAAAGAGCAAGTGCTCCGGATTGAATTCAATCTAACACTTATCAAAATCCCACTAAAGTAATATTAGTAAAGAACACCATAACCAAACACTTGGACCTTATATAGATAATTACATAGATGAGAACTATTGCTAACACCTACATTGAGTTTTTATCTATTAACTATTCCTTATATACATAGTTATATATGTGGGTGTGTCTATATATATATATATATATATATATATATATATATATATATATATATATATATATATATATATATATAACTTAAACTCTAACTCTATGTGTATGTTGGAATATGGGAAGAACTATATTAATTATGGTCCAAGACTAAGTTCAAACTTAATTAGATGGTCCATAGTTTACACTAATTAATTTCATAGAAATATATAGAATTTCAAAAGGATGTCTGTTCTATGAGAATCTTTGTGTGACATGAGGTTGGACGAGGTACGCCTAGTTAGCAGACGTCCAGATATAAGTGTCCTGGCGTACCACCCGGTTCAACATGCACCCGATTGGACCATTCGATACGTCCGGCCCGAATCAACCTCGTCTCCACTTGCACACTTGCACGCACGGTCATCTAGCTTCGCAATTAAATGCCTCTGCAAAATATACTGTTGATGAAAATTTAACAGAAAGAGAGAATTCATATTATCATTTTCTTTTCCAAACTATGGTGGACGAGAACGAACACGTCCTTGTGAGAGGAGTCTTGTGCGATGTTGAAAACTTTGCCCCCCCTCGGCAACTTAAACGCGGGGAGCTGCAACTGGACTGACCTCTAGGAAAACAATTCTGGCCAATCCAACCAACGCAGCAGCTAAAACCTCCTAGTCTACGAACTCGAAAAAAGAGAGAAAAAAAAAATACAGACCCTTGTCGAAAGAGTTTGATGATGCAAAGTTGGTGTGTTCTTCCGCTTTTCAATCCATGACGCAATTCGCTGGAGCAAAGCCGATCCTGGAGCGCTCGAGGTCGTGCTCGATCAAGTAATCCTGCTGCTGGTAGTTTCCAATCACGTTAACTCCGCCCTGCGCGACCGCCCCGGCATTCACGAACGCCAGGCAGATGGTCACCACTTGCGGCGTCCTGGCCAAAGGTACCCACACACTCGCTTCTCGGAGCTCCATGTCTACGTTGTTCTTGAAGTGGAGCGTGACGAGCGGAGCCGTTGGTAGCCTCGCGTCACCGGCAGCTACGTCGTAGCACAGCTCCTTTGTAAAATCACTTCCGCTCGTTCGATTGAGGTGTAAGACCCGGCGTCCAAACGCTTCCACCAGTGCTGTGTGAGCCGGCTCCACCAGGAAAGACACCGTCGTTCCAGAGTCGAAATAAGTTCCACCGTTCCCGAGCCTGTCGATCTTGAATGCCGAGCGTGGGATGTGGAGCAGCTCCCCCCCGACACTTATTCCTTGCAAGCCGACGTAGTAGAAGTCGACGATACTCGCAATTGGAGGCTCCTGCTCCAGAGATAGATACTGGAAGTGGTGCGCTGGAATTCCCGAGTCCCCGAAAATTATAACTCCGGACGAGTTGAGATGCTCTGCTCGGTTCGGGAAGCAGTAGGAGAACCTGTCCGATAGCCCGCTCTTACTCCGGCTCCCAATCTGAGCGGGAAACGAGAAACTCCCCCGGTTGAGTCCCAGAGTTCCCGACGAAAAGTCTACCGGACGCTGGAGGTCTTTGCTTGCGCAGCCGAATATCACGTCCCCCAGGGTCGACGCCGCTCCATCCCAGCTCTGCAGGCTGAAAATCTCCCGGGCGATGACACCGTACGCCTCGCTTCCGTCCAAGTATGCCACTTGGAAGCTGCACGAGCCTGTGGACCGGTTGCAAGCGCTCTGGAATCCCAACTTGCTGCGGCCGAGGCACACCGAGGAGGTGCAAGGCTCGGAGATGAAAGACGACGACAGCCCCGGATTGAAAGGCGGAACTTTGGTGGGAGAACAGTTGGTGCACGACGTCCCCTGGACCCAAGTTAGCTCGCTTGCGGTGTCAACCAACAGAAGGACTTCCCTGGGAGGCGTACCAATCTTCGTTTGCATGTAGTAAGCGGTGGTGAGCTGAGCGAGTGACGAAACCGGATCTTCACGCGACTTTGACACTTCATGTTGCCTCTCAACCTGTGCCTGGGCCGTTCTTCTCGACCGCGACAATTCTCTTCCCGTTATGCTGAAGCATCTGGCTCGAGGAGCAGCAGCATCATTTGGCGAGCTGAGAAGAAGCGATCGCAAATGGAGACGATCGGGTCGGCCGGTGGTATTCCAGCAGCTTACCTGCATTAGCAGCAGGAGCAGGAGCAAGTAAATCAGGAGGATGATTGCTGATGCATGCATTCTAACAGCCACACAATCAAGCAGCATCTTCACCAAGCTCATGAATGCCTTATCAACGAGGAGAAAACCAACTTAAACAAATTGCAAGAGAGAAACTTACGAGGATCTATATTGCGTGACGACGATTCCTTGCTCGGCTCGGCTCGACCGCTCGTGTAGAAAAACCCCGCTGCAAGCGATTGACCAAGCGAATTCTCTGGACGACTTCTACCATGTTTCCAAGGGATTTAAGACCTGGTTGCGTTGTTTCCAAAGGATCTGCAGCTGAATTTTGTGAGAATGATTATGAACTGCGGTTGCCAACGAAAATATATATCAGGCAAATGATTGTACGGTTGCCGCGAGTTAAAGCCAAGCCTGCGCAAGCGGTCATGTCCATCACTGAGAGAAACAGCGGATTATTTCCAGTAAATTCAGAAATAAACAAAACAGTAGCTTACAGATTAGACAAGAGCATGACGTTTTGACCATGTGTGAAGTTTAATCAGCATGACGTTTGTGTCGAACGCCGACGAATCTCTTAGTTCTGCCAGAACTACAAGCAAAAAGGTGTTACATACAGATATGAAAATGCTGTACACAAACGGAAGACTCCCTCGCAGATTCGAAGGACAAGGCGAGCACTCAAGCCTGGGTCAGCCTACAACGATTTCTCTATGCCTGTCCACATTTGCGAAGACATCTAAAACCCTCTTCTTCGTACTCTTGTCTTGTAATCCAGAAATCAGATGTATCCTGCGCGGTTGAGCTGTTGAATTAGCAAGTAAAATGTTTTCAAGTACCTTCATGATGCCAGCTAAAACTGCACCACCCAAGTAAACCATGTGCTTCCGCCGGGGAGGGTCTTCAATTCGAAGCTTGAACTTCTGCAACCATTTGTAGTTTAGAAACGAAACGACAATAAGACTACCCTCACCTTCAAACCCTCTTTATTTCCTTTCAAAACTGTCTTGAGGTAAAAATCTCGAATCTCCCTCTCTAACCTGGCCAAAGGAGACGAAACCGTACATTTGACATCAAGAGCTCTAAATAGAAACACTTACCGGCTAGGTAGACCAGGATACATTGTGCTTCCTCCACTTAGGACAATGTGTTGATAAAGCTGCAGTCCTACCACAAGTAAAAATCTCAAGGACACAGCAAAAAAGGATTTACCGTCATCCGATTGTCAATGTCCATTTCTTGAATGCATCTGAATACAAGCTCGGCAAGTCCTCCTCCTTCCATATCCAGCAGTTCCTGGACAAAACTCTCTAAAGTTACAACGTGAATACCAGCAAAGGTAACAGTGCTAACCGGATTGAACAACGCTTCTGGTGCTTGGAAGCGTTCCGCGCCTACCTTTATGACTCGTCCATCTGGCAACTGAAAACAAACAGATTTTATAAGTTCACCCCAGGTTACAAATTACAAACCGTATATTGCTTCACCACAATAGTTGTCTCCAGTGCCAATTGAGTTTCTCGCTTGTAGTCAAAACTTTAAGACAACAATTTTAGTTAGAAATCAGCTCGTGATCTAGCACGCTGACAAACCTGACATAACATAGCCTCTCTTTCATTTCCCTTACTGTTTCAAAGTCCGCGCTCCTGTTAAAAGCGTACCTACAAGGAGAAAAAGAAACACCAAGCTAAAATGAACTAGTATAAAAGCAGTCAGCTTTACCCTCTACGGAGCAGAAGATCGATAAGGTAGGAGGTAACATGACGCCCTGCAATATTCATGCGTTTTGTGAGGTGAGGGAACGAGTACCCATCTACAACAGGTACCTAGCACCACGGTTACAGTTACAATCGAGATGACAAACGAGAAAGATAAAGTAGAAGTTGATACTTACAATGTGTGTAACTCCGTCTCCAGAGTCAACTACGAGCCCCGTTAATAATCCTGCTCATTCAAGAAAACACAACAGTACATTAACGTAAGGTCTTTGCTCAAAGAACCTTGGGCATAGAGTGTTAAAACGGCCTGAATTTGGATATAAACAGCTGCAAAATTGTACTTCTCAAACATAGTCTCAACCTGATTAAAACCTTTGGTTATGGCTAGAAACCAGGTTCAAAAGAACGTACCATTCTTTCGCGATTCTTAGTAGGATTAAGTGGAGGATCAGTAAGCAATATTTTGCACTCCGAAGGGTTAATCTGTAATATTTCACCATCATAGACGTGCCACAAAAACATTTGAACCGTGGAACTTACTCTTAGAACGTTCTGAAATGCATGATCCCAGACGTGCCCCATATCTTCCCAACTTTGTACAATGCCATTGCTCACCGGATACGATACCTCAAGCTGATGTCTTAGTTCTGTACACGCATCCCCCACAACTATGTCCTGCCTCTTACATGATTAAAAGAACGAAAAGAAAAATTTGACGAAGCAAACTATACCTTTAATTCCTGCTCCGTGAGCGACTCTTCGTACCGGAGCATTGGCCTTCCAACCATGCAGGGAAAAACCGCAGTGGGAAAATTCTCACCCGCAAACCCGCATTTGATGAACTGCACGAAGAATAATAGTCACTTTCTAATGAGATATCAAGATCACAAAAACTCCGGACAGCAAGGAGGAAGAATAAATCTCTCTGGAGTCTGTAGGTGGTATTTATCTCTCTCTCCAGCAGACGCTCTGGAACGAAAAGAGCTCGTGTATGAGACACAATAAATTTGTCTTTCTTTCCCAACCAGGAAAAGATATCTAGAAAGGAGTTTCCTTTCAGGAGAGCCCAAACAAGCCAACAGAACAAATATAAATCGAAAATGCGGCTGGAAGATCGTCCTGAGAGAAATCACGGATTCTCACAGAGAGCAAGCAAGAGCACGGATTATCCCGACTAGCAGTGCCTCAAATGCAGCAGGGAAACCAAGGCGAGAAGGCGAGAGAGAGGAGAAAGAGAGACCAAGTACGGATTTCCTCCCTAGAATGCACAGCTGCGAGCGCTGGAGCCAAATCTCGAGATCTTACCCCTGTTCCATTGTCACAGACGATGACATCGTGTGCCATCGCCAGAGGATCGGCGCCCCCAGCGCCTCGCGAGAGAGGAAGGGACCACAAACCCTAACCCCGTTATTTTGCTGTAGACAGAGCATTAGGGTTTTTCGGGGTAGAGTAGTGCTATGCAGCATTTGCGGCATCGAGGAGGAGGAGGAGGAGGAGGAGCTACGCCACTGCTCGGCGGCGCGGACGCATCGATCGCCGCCGAGAATGCCGAATTCAAGGCGGCGTCCGGGCGGACGCCCATGGGAATGCGCAAGAAAGGAATGGGGGTGAGAATGTGGCTCGTGATCAACAGCTCCGGCGTCCAGCGCCTCGAGGCCGGTAAACACGCGATAATGCGAAGAACATCGCTGCCGGCTAGGGACTTGAGGATTCTGGACCCGCTGCTGTCGTATCCATCCACGATTTTGGGGCGGGAGCGCGCCATCGTCGTGAATCTAGAGCACATCAAGGCGATTATCTCGGCTCACGAGGTCCTGCTTCTCAATTCCAAGGACCCTCTCGTTGCTCCGTTCGTGAACGAGCTTAGAGGTCGGCTTCCAGTTCACTACAACGCTCTGGGACAACAGGTAAGAAAAGGAAGTTTTATTCTCTCGTACTTTCTCTTATACGTAAGAAACTTTCCAGGTTCCAGGGGATGGTGGTGGTGGGATGAGCGACACCGAAATCCCATCGAGACCATCTCAGGATGATGAAACTAACGGATCCATCGACGCCTCCATCTCATTAGAAGCTCCTGAAGGTTCCAGTTTCAAGTTTAGCAATGATCTCCAGAACAAAGGCGGGCCTAGCGTATTGCCTTTCGAATTTCGAGCTCTGGAAGCTTGTCTCGAGGCTGCTTGTAGTTGCCTTGATGCGGAGGTGATTCAAGCTCTTTCCGGGTTCGCTATTTGAATTAATTGTTTTCTTACAGACAAATGCACTGGAACAACAAGCATATCCTGCCTTGGACGAGCTCACGTCGAAGATCAGCACACTCAATCTCGAGCGTGTAAGATTGATAAAGTCTCGGCTCGTTGCCATATCAGGGCGTGTCCAGAAGGTAAGAGCTATCATTTAGATGCTTCTTACGCTTTGGGGTGATTTTTTCTTTTCTTTTTCGTGATTTTGAATCTCAAAGGTCAGAGATGAGATAGAGCAATTGTTAGACGATGATGGAGACATGGCTGAAATGTACTTGACAGATAAGCTATCTCGCCAGCAGCTGGATGGAGTGCCATCGCCTCCTGCCTATGACATGGACGAGGAAGAAAAAGACAATGCTGAAGAGAACGAACAAAGGTAGGTCTTAAATCAGAACTAAGTTCTGATTTAATCCTTGCTCTCAACAGGCTCGATGACAGACAGGCTGCCGAGAAGAACCAATTCGTGTAAGAAAGTTTCCTTTCACTGCGGTGTTCGCTGAATTTTGGACGTTTCCAGGCCCGACGTGAAAGCGGAAGCTCAAACCGCGTTTGAAGCCATGCGAGAAACCTTGAGTGGACTTCACAAGGGCGATGGACTCAGCAGCAGCTCCCGGAGCAGCAACAAGAGCAGCAGTAACCACAGCAACCACCCAAAGCAAAACCTCGACGTGGAGGAGCTGGAGATGCTGCTCGAGGCCTACTTCGTCCAGATCGATGGCACACTCAACAAGCTCTCAACTGTAAGTTTCTCTTTAGTCTCCAAAGAGATAGATTCCAATCTTTGCAAACTTGTGAGCAGCTCAGGGACTACGTCGAAGACACGGAAGACTACATCAACATAATGCTGGACGACAAGCAAAACCATCTCTTGCAAATGGGGGTGATGCTCACGACCGCGACGCTGGTGGTGAGTGGATTCATCGTCGTCACTGGGATCTTTGGGATGAACATAAGGATCTCTCTTTTCAACGAGGGGACGCTCACGCAGTTCCTTTGGGTCGTCGGCGGCGCGGGCGTTGGAGCGCTCCTGGTGTATATTCTTGTCATTGGATGGTGTAGATATAAGCGCCTCCTTGAATAAATCTGGGCCGTTAGATATGACTCAAATTGAAGTTCTCTTCTGCTCTGACCTAACCCTAGGGCGGCTATGGCGGTCTTTACATTCGTGTGCAAGCACACTGGCGGCTCTTGGAACGCCAAGCAACGGGGAGGCGATCTAGAAGGCAGCGCTGCGAATCCGCTGGAGCTCCAGAAGCAGATGCGCGATCTGGCGCTGCAATCCGCGGGCGCCGGTGCCGTCTCTGTGGATTTCGCGCTCATCACACCCTCGGCTGGGGTTCTCCAGGTAAGCGATCGCTCGCTCTGCCTGGTTTCGTTTCTAGGGTCCTGGTAAAAGCAGAGGTTTTTGATCTTGTGAATGAGATAATCTCTCGTCGATCCCAGGTAGATTTCTCTTGCATCATTTTAGGTGGTGAGCTACTGCTGTGTCCTCCAGGCAGATGGTTCAATCCATGGTGCTAGATTTCTCTTCTAGATCGAGTTTGCTGAGTGATGTAAATCGAAAGACCGATGAGCTATGCCAGTTTTTGGCTATCGCTCTGTCCATGAGGTTTCTTTTATGTCATAGTTACACTGACAGCAAGCTCTTAACTGATCTCTTCGTTTAGTTTGCTCGTTTTGAGTCGCTCACTTCTTCGTGTTGGTGATCTAGGTGATTGTTGGAGGCGGCGCTGGCGGAGCAGCGTTCGCTAGCGGTGGTGGAGCTCCAGCGGCTGGTGGCGCCGCCGCCGCCGCCCCAGCCCCAGCGGAGGAAGAAAAGAAGGAAGAGAAGGAAGCCAGCGAAGACGAAGACATGGGATTCTCCCTCTTCGACTAGGTGCGCTTCCCATTGCGCTTCTTCCCTTGTTTCCTTGCTCAAGCTAGAGAAACTTACGAGTTTTGGATCACTCTTGTCCCCTCGTTCGTGGGCTTCTAAAGATCTGGGGCCTTTACAGCAATCTCCCGGCCACGCCAGCTCCAACTTTGATCATCCACAAGAAAGCCAGCCACATTGGAACGTTGTGCTTTCGTCGCCCCCATACGTAAAACTTGAGAAGCGTGTGAAGACCGGGGAGAGGATGGAATATACCCTGTCCGCTAGGCCATGAGGTAATAGATGTGGTGCGCGATGAAGAGGCGATCCGACGGCGACGTAGTGGAGGAGATCGACGGCGAAGAGGGCCGCGCTCCACTCCATGATCTTGTTCTGGAGGGCGTCGAGGATCCAGTGCGTGGTGATGGCTAGGGTTGATGCGACGAGGCTGTGCGCGAAGGCGATGACGCTGCTGCAGGCGCGGATCCGCCAGCGCCGGAAGCAAATCGACCAGGCGATGGTGTACTGAGCCAGGATTGCGCCGGCGCCGCTGCCGCCGCGAGATTCTGGGCCTGGGATTGAGCTGCATTGTCAAAATCAAATGTCATCTTGCGCGGGAAAACTTCACACGAAAGGGAGTCGGAGCAGAACCCTAATCTGGCAAACGCTTTGAGCACAACTTCCATCCCGATTGTAGGTAGAGCTCAAGACATGTCCAGTTAGTAAGTCGTTAAACGGGTACACAAGCAGGTTTGATGGCGGTTCATCACCCGGACCTCCAACCACACCAGAATGTTTCCTGGCCGACTCAAATACCGGGCAAGTGTAAACCATTGCCAAGAGGAAGGTCATCAAAATAAAGAGCCTCGTCATTGAAAATCCAATAGAATGTAAGGGTTTGGTATCATTGTTATGAGACAAAGTGATTTCCTCTTTTTTGTTTTGCTGAAAATATACTTTAGAGTTTTGCTGGAATTACTTCCAGTAAAACAAATGCCAAGAATTTCTTGTTAAGTTGGAAGGGGATGGGGACAAGAACAGAACTTTTGAAACCAATGGGGGCGTGGAACTCTTTCAACAATGCCCTGCACATTGAAAGGTAGAATCCTTGTTATGGTTAGTACTGTCATCGAATCAATATAAGCAAGTTTGTTTCCTTTTCCATAGATTATGTTCTTACATGTCTATTTGAAAAATGCTTTGGAGATGTGACACCGTGATACTCAGCCTCCAAAACTTGAGCCATGTAGTGGAGGAGCCTGACAGCGAATAAGGCAGTAAGTGGGGGAATTAAATCCAGAGTGTGAGATGGAGACCTTGTGGATGTGAGGGAGAACATTTGCATAGCATTATATGTTTTTTTCTTGTTAAATGGTATTTATGAAAAAAAAAAAGAAATTGGGTGATATGGAATTGCAGAACTAGATGCTGTAAAGTCCACAGTGTGAACAACTGAGCTCAAACATTGGTCCCAATGCAAACTAGACCTCCAAGCAAAAGCCACCACCTCCGAGGCCATAATCGAGCCTCTATTGTCTTTAAAGTGCTAGAAGCCCATGCGTACCAAATTTGCCACTGGCTTGGGGTCACCGAAAACTGTACACCACACCTGCTATGCAATCCTCCACTGTGTCTAAGAAGGTCCGTGTGGTCGGCAGCCAATCACGGTTGCAGTAGTAGATTCAAGTGTATGAAGGGTACAAAGGTAGTGTACTCTCTCTCCTCTCCTTTATATCATCATACACGTCCATCCATACATTTACACTGTACCAAGAGCCAAAATGCATTATATGTGGGGTTCTTACTTTTCCTCATGGACAAGGCTATGTTACAACCATATGGAGAAGCCTACAGGAGATTAATTCCCATGGACTTAATGGTGCGTAAAACTTTCTTCCGGCTCAGATTGCTCCTATATGACCAAGTTCTTGTGATCTCATTCAAACAGCACTTGAGAACTCTGAAGTTGAAAGTTATCTACGGTTGTGAGATTGGGGATGTGTTGGTTTGGGAGATAGAAATTTGGACGCTGGGATTGTTATTCAGATCACAGCAATGGTAATATTTTGAATTTTATTTGACCGGCTGAGTTTCTAACTGTCAATTGCCAAGGTTTCTTCGTTCATGGAGAGGGAGGCACCTCCTGGCATTTTAGAAAGCACCCTGGAAGCTCACTATTGCAAAATAAAGACAGACATGAATTATAGACTTGGGATTCTATTTCATTCATTTTCCCAGGCAACATTTGTGGGGTGGTTGATATTCCAAGTGTTCAAGTGCAATGCACAAGTGTCAAAAGGATGCACCACTGCTCCCCTTCCCAAAGCAGCGATAAAGCGTTTGTCTTTACAAGATGGACATGAAGTGACTTGCTTCAACGAGTGCCAAATGAGCCGACCGAGGAGGCATGTAAGAAGGCCATCAAGTCCATAGCAAAGGGAAAATACCATCAAAAATCAGCATGCAAAGTTGGAACTCTTACCTTCACTCTCAACCAATATGTTGTGGCCTCCAGAATTGGTGCCGCCATGTTGACACTTCGTGATTCCTCAAGAATTTGTCCAATGCCACTGTCGCAAAAGAGTCTGTCGTAGTTGGCCTTGGCCACCCTACATTGTCAGGATTTTGTCCTACTGCTCCCAGTAAGGTATTGCCTGTTTCTTTAGCATGTGCCGCACAAAGGTTGCACCATTGGCCCAATCGAATTCCTTATGGCCAGCAATGCTCTTGAGCATTTCATCTTCCACGCAGTTTGCAACACCACAATGCTCAAGCAGCTTGTGTTTAAGCCACCGCACCAGTGACAAGAGGCCTTGGTTGTCAGCTAGATTCGTGATGAGTTCAACTGCAGAGGTGGTGTCGTTAATTGCAGCAGCCTCCTTGTTGTGCAACGGTCCGCATCTTGGACTGCAAGAGCTGCCCCTCATCCATCCACTTTCTCTGCTTAGTTTCAAACCCGCATGAACCTCTTGCTAGCAATAGAAGAAATTAGTATTTTTGAAGTGCTGCTTATGTGGCCATATGTGCATTGTCTAAAATATCTGAAACAGGCACTGGAGCCTCGCATTGCAGTCTTAATCGGGAAAGGATGGCAGTGGACTGCTTCTGTCCTCTGCCAGTGTAAGCACCTGACCATACCTGCAGCTGTATCTCCATCGACACGGAATCTTCATCGTCAGCCGCTACTTCACCTAACTGTTGCCTCCTCCTGTGGCCTCCACGTCCTTGTCATCTTCAGCTTCTCAATGGTGCAGGTGTTGGTGCCTACCTTGCTCAGATGCTGATGCAAGAACACTTGCCACAAATCAAGGGTGGTAAAGTATTAAAAGTATTGTGGAGTTTTAGCACTATCACTTTTCTTCCGAGCACAAGCCCGAGCAGAGCTTTGGTAGAGATTCCAATACTTGCCTGTCATGTGGTTCATCATGTTGTACAGAAAAACTACAGTAGCCTAGCTTACATTACTCTTGTTGCAAACCACCTCACGCTTTCCAACATGGTGGCTTGATTGGAACCTCTCTAACTTGGCCAACTCTACCTCCCCTTGTGAGATTCATATACAAATGCCCCAATCTGAGTGATCCTTGCAGCTGGGATGTTGCGGGGTGGGTCTTGAAGGATATGTTGAATGGCATGTTGGACCATACAACCCCTACACGTAATGGCATGGTTTCTGTGCTTTTGATGGAGCGATGTACCAGCAAGTTATACATCTTATTAAACTTGCTGCCACCCAACAACCCCTTGAATGTTCTTAAGTAAAAACTACCTTGATTTTCTCGCATTGAGACCACCACTACCACCACCACCACCACCATTCCCATCCTAAGTCATCTTCAACAATCAATCCAATCATTCAACTATATTGTCTTTATAACAAGAGAGGAAAAATTGTCCAGCCAGTCAATTCAAATATGTCTAATTGTTCATTTAGAACACTTTTCAATAATCATTTCATTTGAAGCATAAAACTTAGGGTTTAAGGTAAGGACTCACATTTCATCAATAACATTAAACTTCATTTGGCTATATTTTATGTGCCATGCTAGTTTTAATGTTTAGATTCTAGATGCTTTAGAACTATTATAATATTTTTCTACACTCCTTAGCCATATACCTGGGACTTCAATCCCTTTATTTAATGGTTCAAGACCTTTAAAACTTTGTTACATTTAGCATATATGTGGAAGTGTTAGGTCTTGCTTCATGGTTAGCTTATAATAATTCACTATAGTATAAAGTCAAAACCTCATGCATTACAAATATGATAGCTTACTCCTTGTTAACTTGAATAATAAAAATCAAGTGAATCATATTTAATGGAAGCATTGGTAAGAGAGTATAAGAGTTTAAATTACTATATTGCCTTGATCCAAACATGAAGATAGTTACTCCCTTAGTGTAATGCATAAGTACTCACAAATGTTAGTTTTTATGTAAGTGACTATAAGTCAGTAATAGGAGGCTTATATCCAACAGAAAGTAAGAACACATATGAGTGGAAGAAAAGATTTTAAGTGGATCTTTGACTATATCTATGGCTTATTTATGGCTCTAGTAATAGGCTCTCTTAGCTAGTTTCTTGCAAGTGCTATAATAATTATACTTTTGAACAAGACATAAGTGTACATTTTGCCAATATTCCATATGGACTAAATATATATTACTCAAGTCTCTTGAGCACAAAAGTTGCAGCACTACTTATAGAAGAAAAAACTATCATAAAGTGTTTTTCCACTTGGTTACCAAAATATTAAGCTATTTTCTATTGATTAACTTCTTGAAAGTCATATCATAATAACTTCCTTACCTTAAGTCATTCAACATTAATCACTAAAATATGCATCTTACTTTTTGGGATACTCTAAACTACTTCAATATATGAAAGAAGGGTTTTATATAAACCCAATGAGGCTTTATGTTAAACCAACTATAACACATGTGCTAATGGGATGCAACTCTAACCCCTTCATTATTTTGTAATAGATTTTGAAAATGAAATAGTTTTTGGGCAAAATAATCAACAAATCAACCATTAGAAAACTTCATGAAAATTTGTGGAATATTTTTCGTCTTAAACAAAAAATCACTTTT